GCTGTGATGGTGCAGAGGCTGAATATTGCCTGGCGTGGTAGTTCACACTTAATCCCCATGCTTCGGGAGGCTGAGGCAAGAGGATTGCTTGAGGCCGGGAGTTCAAGACCAGCCTGGGCAACATGGTGAGACCCTGTCTCTACTAAAAATACAAAAATTACCCGGGCATGGTGACACACGCCTGTAATCCCAACTACTCAGAAGACTGAGGCAGGAGAATTGCTTGAACCTGCAAGGGCGAAGGTTGCAGTGAGCTGAGATCGCATCACTGCACTCCAGTCTGGGCGACAGAGCAAGACTGTCTCAAAAAAAAAAAAAAAAGCAGCCATTCAGGCAGCCCCTGGGGGCCCTGTGCAGGGCCTGATGGTCACCACTCCAGCAGCTTGTAGAGAGCCCTGCCAGGCCCAGGACATCCCGGCCATATGGTCCATTTGCACTCCAGCTGCTCCTCATCAGGTATAGAGCAGCAAGGTCTATTTATCGAAGGACAGGGAGAACAGCTGGGTAATCATAAACCTAACAGCTAAATTTATGATATTCCAAGCCTTGGTAATATACCAAAACTTCATATCTACTAAAAACACAAAAATTAGCTGGGCGTGGCGGTACGTACCTGTAGTCTCAGCTACTCAGGAGGCTGAGACGGATGGGATTGCTTGAGCCCAGGAGGCTGAGGCTGCAGGGAGCCATGATCATGCCGCCACACTCCAGCCTGGGTAACAGAGTGAGACCCTGTCTCCCAAATAAATAATAAAGTAATGAACGTATGATGTTCCAGTGAACCGCCGCGTGTGGGCTGCCTCTCTATTTATTTATTTATTTTTTTTAGACGGGGTTTCCCCATGTTGGTCAGGCTGGTCTTGAACTCCCGACCTCAGGTGATCCGTCTGCCTTGGCCTCCAAAGTGCTTGGATTACAGGCGTGAGCCACCACGCCCGGCCTCTTATTTATTTATTTATATTTTGGGGGGGCTGCCTCTCTCAATCCCACAAGACAGGCACCCTCCTTTTCCATCTTCATTTCTAAGCTGAGAAACTGAGACAAGTTGCCCAAAATTATAGAGTTACTCAAAATTAATAGCCGAGGAGGTTGATTCTGATGCCTAAAGCTTTACCCAATCAAGATTTGTTGTACCTGGAAGTCCTCTGGGTCTAAAGGCCAGACTATCTGAGTCCTTGTCTTTACAGGGCTGCAGAGGAAAACAGAAATCATCGTGAACACAGAACCTGTTACGTCACTGGTCTCCACTCACACACCCCTCCCGGCGGAGCTCTGGGATCTTTCCTGCTGAGCGGACTGGAGAGTGTGCTGTGAGGCTGTGCACATACAAAGCATGTCAGTTGCAAAGCCAAACTGTCTATGTTTCAAGAGGTGTAAGGTTTCAGGAAGCCCACGGATGGGACGCCAGGGATGCTCAGACGGAGACCAATGCCATGGGTCAGCGTGGGAGGTTCTGGCAAAGCCACACAGGCAGGCAACTGAGAGTAGGGCCACCACCATGGCTAACCACTGGATGCCCCTTCAACAAGATACGGCGTGAATATCAAATGATGAAGAGAGCCTTCTGGGGAAACTGACGGCGCCCTTACACGTTTTTGTAAAACAATCCTCTTCATCCTGGAGCTGGGAGAATCACACACAGTGGGAAGGACAACGTGTGGAACCATCATACAGTTTGTCAGAAAAATTACAACCCTATCAAATTGGCACTTGACTAATTCTTTGTTGGTTTCACAGATTAACACACCATGGCATTTTCACCTACAATTTAGTGAATATAAGACAAATTTAAGATACTTTCCTTTTTTTTTTTTTTAAGATAACTTCTCAAACTCTTTGTGCCATGATTGGCATCATTACTATTAGATTCCCATTTTACGTGAATGCACTTCAGAGAGTCTTTCTTTCCAGTTCATTTACCCTTCGGTACTGGAGAACAGTCAATGATGTGCAATGAGATCCTCCTCCATTCTTCTAGGTATATAACTTCTGTCCATTTAGGCTGCCAGAAAGTCCCTGGACCATCACCTTAGCCTAGGACAACCTCCTCCTCTCATTTTTTTCCTACTATCTTTATCTTAGATCTAGACCCAAATTGACCAAACAATCCCTCACATATGTAATTAACAGTGACATCAAAAACAACATCCAGGCTGGGCGCGGTGGCTCACACCTATAATCCAGCACTTTGGGAGGCTGAGGCAGGCAAATCACCTGAGGTCAGGAGTTTGAGACCAGCCTGGTCAATATGGTGAAACCCCGTCTCTACTAAAAATACAAAAATTAGCCGGGTGTGGTGGCAGGTACCTGTAATCTCAGCTACTCAGAAGGCTGAGGCAGGAGAATCCCTTGAACCCGGGAGGTGGAGGTTGTAGTTAGCCAGGATGGCACCAATGCACTCCAGCCTGGTGACAGAGCAAGACTGTGCCTCAAAAAACAACAACAGCAAAAACCCAGCATCCATCTTGTTCTTCAACATCCCTTTATAAAGGTGATAAGTTTATTTCAGAGGGTTTTTTGGTTGTTTTTTTTTTAGGGGATTGGATCAGATTTCTTGTGTCTATTTGCCTACAGAGAGAGAGAATGCACACACAGGTGAATAAAAATGAGTGAACCTCTTGAAGATTTTAGATGGCAAAGCAATACATTGGCAATTTGCTTGTGGGGTATGTGTGGGTGGATATGTGTTTAAATTTAGAACCGGGAGCAACTTAAGACTTTCCTGGGAAATTGAGATGCTTCCGGCTTTTTGAGTAGTAGAACCACGAAACTCATCATCCTTCCTTTTGTGTACTGGCTGCAAGAATGCTCAAAAATGAATTTCCTCTTGATTTATGTCTATTTTGAACATGTTCTGTATGCATGCCTTTTATTTCAGGCCTCCAGAAATCATCACTGGAGGAGCATGCTTCATTTGACTTGACCTGGATTGGATATGAAGTCATCAAGTCATGAGAAGAGGGAGTCAAGCTCTTCCTAAGGGCTGTAGTGGCGTAGATGTCAGAGGTGTGTGAACCACAGCGGCTCCAGCTTGAACAGGGGCTGGGTTAAATGAGGCTGAGACCTACTGGGCTACATTCCTAGACGGTTAAGGCATTCTAAGTCACAGCATGAGATAGGAGGTCAGCAAAAGATACAGGTCATAAGCAGTCTGCTGATAAAACAGTTTGCAGTAAAGAAGCTGCCCAAAACCAAGATGGTGATGACAGTGACCTCTGGTCATTCTCACTGCTACACTCCCACCAGCACCATGCCAGTTTACAAATGCCATGGCAACATCAGGAAGTTATCCTAAAGGGTTTTAAAAGGGGAGGCAGAAATAATCCACCCGTTGTTTGGCATATAATCAAGAAATAGCCACAAAAATGGGCACCCGCAGCCCTTGCGGCTGCTTTGTCTATGGAGCAGTCATTCTTTATTCTATTACTGGTGGAGGGCGTCCAGGTTCTTGACGTCTTGAACAAAGAAATGGACAAAACGCACAAAGCAGCCTGGACGAGGTGGCTCATGCCTGTAACCCCAGCACTCTGGGAGGCCAAGGCGGGCAGATCCCCTGAGGTCGCAAGTTTGAGACCAGCCTGACCAACATGGAGAAACCCCATCTCTACTAATAATACAAAATTAGCCAGGCGTGGTGGTGCATGTCTGTAATCCCAGCTACTAAATGAAGAGGATGAAACAAAGTTACAGAATCATTTACTCAGTGTACACCCTATGGATTTTTTTTTTTTTTTTTTTTTTTTTTTTGAGACAGAGTCTCACTCTGTCACCCAGGCTGGAGTGCAGTGGTGCAATCTCAGCTCACTGCAACCTCCACCTCCCCAGTTCAAGTAATTCTGCCTCAGTCTCCTGAGTAGCTGGGATTACAGGTGCACGCCACCACAGCCAGTTAATTTTTTTATTTTTAGTAAAGGTGGGGTTTCACCATATTGGTCAGGCTGGTCTTGAACTCCTGACCTCATGATCCACCCGCCTTGGCCTCCCAAAGTGCTGGGATTACAGACGTGAGCCACTGTGCCCGGACTGGAGATGTTATTTCCTGTCACAGCTGAAGTGTTCATTGGCCTTATGTACCCTGTCTGCAGACCCTATTATTCTACCTCAATTCCTTTACTTTTCTAATAAACTTGCTTTCACTTTATGGACTCGTCCTGAATTCTTTCTCGCATGAGATCCAAGAACCCCCTCATAGGGTCTGGATCGGAACCCCTTTCCGGTAATATAACAGAAAATACAGCCTTGACATGGCTGTCAGGAAACGACAGACAGGCCGCTGAGGGTGGGGTTCTGAAGGGGTTTGACCCCGTGAGGAAGGCTCTGGAGGCTCCAGTCACTCTCAGCCACTGTGAAAGATGCCCGACCCTGCCAATAAAACTTCCAGCTTGGAGAAACTGAGGCTGAGCAGTAGGGGGTATGGGGGTCCCTGGAGGAACCAGAACCCATCCTGCTTCAGGGTGGGGCTGGTCCCCCTCTTGGCCTTTGCTGGGGCTTCGTGTCACGGAGCAGTGACTGAGGGTCGGTGTTCGAAGCCCACCACAGGCTGCCAGCTGCCCAGGCGTGGCCAAGCTCTCCGCACCTGCACGCGTCTGTAAAACGTGGATGAAACGCTTCTACTGAACCGGGTGGCTGAAATCAAACGAGTTATGGGTATAAAGCGCTTAAAACGATGTCTGGTACACACTCGGTGCCAAATAAGCGTTCGCTGTGGTGACTACAATGCCTCCAGCCCAAAGCCGAAGGTCGAAAAGGGCCGGGCTCCCAGCGCAGGGGGTTCCCTTGCGCTACGCTTCGGGGGGGTCCTGGACACAGACACGGCGGACAGAGCTCTCACCAGCGAGGGCCCCGAAGGTCTGCAGCTGAAGGCCCGGGGACAAAGATGGTCGCAACACCCTTTCCTGAAAAGAACGGGGTCCCGCGCTAAGGCGCCCCCAAGCACTCCCGGCAGCGCGGAACCCGAGCAGCTCAGGAGCCCGGGAGCCCCACGTCCCGGGGACCGGAAACGCCGCGGCCCTTACTTCCGGAAGGTGGACAGAACCTGCGAATGGGGGCGGGCCAGCGTCGCTCACGCAGAGCCGTTTCCGAGCGCGACGCCTGCTTGGTGGGAGCAGGTACTGCCGAGTCTTCCCGGGCAGTTGCGTCCTGCGGTAGCGCTGCTGGTCTTGGCCCCGCGTGTCATGGGGGTCCCCGACCCGCGGTTGTAGGGCCAGGGCGGCGGTGGCGGGGCCTAGGGGCAGGAAGCCACTGCCCGGCCTGGCAGTGTGAACGTGCAAGTCGATCCGCTAACCCAGGAAGCCCCTGGCACGGTCTGTGCGGGCGGTCCCGCTCCAGCCTGGGTTTTATTTTTTAGTGACAGATTCTCGCTCTGTCGCCCAGGTTGGAGTGCTGTGGTGTGATCACGGCTCACTGCAGCCTCGACCTCCCAGGCTGAAGTGATCATCCCGCCTCAGCCTCCTGATTAACTGGGACCACAGGCGCGCGGGGCTGATTTTTAAATTTTTTTGTAATTTTTTTTTGGTAGAGATGGAGGTCTCACTATGTTGGCCAGGCTGGTCTTGAACTCCTGGCCTCAAGCTGTCCTCCTGCCCCGGCCTCCGAAAGTGCTGGGATGACAGGCATGAGCCACCGCGCCTTGCCTCTCCTTTTGAATGGACCTTCTTCCATTTCTGTTTCAATGCCCGGTGCTTCATATCTGTACATAATCCGTTTGATTAACTCTTTTTTTTCTCCTGTTTAACCTAAATCAAAGCTGCCATTAAAGAGCCCCGCAATGGAAGATACGCCGTTGGTGATATCAAAACAGAAGACGGAGATGGTGTGTGGAGTCCCCACCCAGGTGGTGTGCACGGCCTTCAGTAGTCACATCCTGGTGGTGGTGACCCAGTTTGGGAAGATGGGTACCCTGGTCTCCCTGGAGCCCAGCAGCGTGGCCAATGACATCAGCAAACCTGTGCTCACCACAAAAGTCCTTCTGGGGCAGGATGAGGTAAAGTGGATTGGCCGGGAACTGTGGCTCACACCTGTAACCCTAGCACTTTCAGAGGCCTTGGTGGGCAGATCGCTTGAGGCCAGGAGTTTGAGACCAGCCTGGGCAACACAACAATGCACACAGAAGTCTCTACAAAAAAACAAGTGCCTACAAAAAATGAGAGAGAGAGGCTGGGCGCAGTGGCTCACACCTGTAATCAGAGCACTTTGGGAGTCTGAGGTGGGCAGATCACTGGAGATCAGGAGTTCTAAACCAGCCTGGCCAACATGATGAAATCTCATTTCTACTAAAAATTAGCTGGGTGTGGTGGCACATGCCTGTAATCTCAGCTACTTCAGAGGCTAAGGCACAAGAATCGCTTGAACCCAAGAGGCAGAGGTTGCAGTGAGCCAAGATCATGCCACTGCATCCCAGCCTGGGAAACAGATGGAGACTCTGTCTCAAAAAAAAAAAAAAAAGAAAAAGAAAAGAAAAAAATTAGTTGGGCATAGTGGTGAGTGCCTTTGGTCCCAGCTGCTTGGGAGGCTGAGGTGGGAGGATCACTTGAGCCCTGGAGGTTGAGGCTGTAGTGAGCCATGATTGTGCCACTGCACTCCAGCCTGGATGACAGAGCAAGAGTCTGCCTCTGAAAATACTAATAATAGGTTGGGTGCAGTAGCTCACGCCTATAATCCCAGCACTTTGGGAGGCCGAGGCAGGTGGATCACGAGGTCAAGAGATGGTGGCACGCACCTGTAGTCCCAGCTACTCAGGAGGCTGAGGCAGGAGAATTGCTTGAACCCAGGAGGCGGAGGTTGCTGTGAGCCGAGATCGCGCCATTGCACTCCAGCCTAGGTAACGAGCGAAACTCCATCTCAAAATAATAGTAATAAAGTTGTCAGGAAGGGACCCCCAGGGAGGAGGAAACAGCCCTTCATTGGCTGTGATTTGTTGTTAAGGATATGGGGCATCTGACAGACAAAGCCCCGTACAGCAACAGCATTTTCCGGGCACTCGTGGGTCTCAAGGCACCCTGCTTGTCCTCGGTGGATGCTTTGTCCAGTCTGCAGGCATTTTATCCAGCAGACAAGCAGAGGTACCAATTTTGTCATTCAGGCCGCCTCCCCTGCCATGATTCATTATGTGAGCAGGTGGCTGGCTGTGCCCTGCCCTGCTCTGCTCTGCAAAGATCACATGTGAGATTCGTCAGCACTTGCCTCCACAGGCTTGTCTTTCCTGGGTTCTTTTAGATGAGAGTCAGCCAGAAGAGACAGGGCTGCAAAGGCGCGGAGAGAATGAACAGAATAACGCGTCCTTAGCAGTGTGTTCCTGACTGGAGTGTTCTGAGTGCTGCCTGTACTCTGAGTCACTGTGGCATGGACTTAACATGGTGGTGGTTAATGGTGGTATGGGAGGCCTATCTGGGTTCCTGAGGGATACTTTATGAAAGCATTGAGGAAAAGACCAGGCTTCTTGCAGTTAAAATGTTTTCTTCTCCCTCCTTTCACAGCCTCTCATCCACGTCTTTGCAAAGAACCTGGTAGCGTTTGTGTCTCAAGAAGCTGGAAACAAAGCAGTCCTCCTCGCTGTGGCCATGAAAGACAAAAGCATGGAGGGGGTGAAGGCGCTGAGGGAGGTGATCCGGGTGTGCCAGGTGTGGTGACCTGGAGGCAGCTGCCCCTCACTGCTCAGCAGGACACGTGAGGACCCAGACACCCTCTCAGGGACTCAAGTCTTGCCTCCCTTCCCGGTGGAGGGAGGAACTTTGTCTGGCACTAGCTCTTGGAGCCAGGAAAAATATTTGTGTCTCAGGCAGACTTTTACTCTGGTTACTAAGATTATCTGTGCATGGGGGTAGAGGTGGAGCATGGAGCATGTCCCAAGGGAGTTGTGAATGGATCTCACTGGGACCTGAGTCGTTGCTTGTGTTTGAGAATTGGAGGAATGAGCCAGCAGGCCTGGCTTATGGCTCCCTGTGTGCAGGATCAATTTTAGGAGAAAATTTCTTTTTTATTAAAAGCAAATGTGTATCCCAGAATACTTCCCCATCCTCCTTAACAATGGCAAGACCCCACAGTGGCACAGCATGAGTTCAGTTTCATGTTCTTCACAGGGAAGGAAAACTTGTTGGGTGAAAACGCAGAGGAATGTCATTCCCGGCCACTGCCTGGATCGCAGGCGTGGGCCTGTACGTGCTGTCACCCTGCTCCTCCTCCCCTGACTTCTCTGAGCCCGCTGGGAAGCTGGTGGCTGTCAGCGGACATTTCTATCTTTCTGTGTGTGCCTGTTCCTGTGCGGCAGCTGGGGACAGACGCTGGCCTCTGAATCCTGAATGGCAAGAGTGGAGGGACACTTCTGTCAAAGGAGCCTCGTGTGCAGAGATCAGGAGGGAGGAGCGAGGCAGGGCGGTGCAGGGCACTGGGGTGGGTCGCCAGAGGTAGGCAGCTGGGTTGTGGCTGAACATGACCTCCCTGTGGGGAAGGCAGGGGTCCTGCTGTGCTGAGGCCACAAGACTTAGTCTTTCGGGAAGCAGTGTTCACAAGGGTTGGCAGAGCCCAGGGCCAGGAATTGGCTTCAGGATGGCATTTACGCCTCTGACAAGTGGCAGCCTGGGCTTTCCCTCCACCTGCTGCCAGGGAAGCTTTACTGATCATGCCCAAGTTGGAATTTCTGAAGCTGGAAGTCGAAGATTTGGACCACTCGACTGGCAGTCTCGTGAAAAACAGGCAACTGGAGAGTTGAGGTGGGTGACAGGATCCAGAGGCAGAAACCAGGCAACACTCTGGAGCAGAGTGAGCGCCCCGCCTGGCCTTCCAGAGAATCGGGGGGTTTACTAAGTCTTAGCTACCTGTGAAGAAACACCTTAGGGGCATAGGGTGTTTGTGGAATTAGAAAGGAATATTTTCTTTATTCCTTTTTATTTTTTTCAATAGAGGCTGGTCTCACTGTTGCCCAGGCTGGTCTTGAACTCCTGGCCTCAAGTGATCCTGTTGCCTCAGACTCCAAAAGTGCTGGGATCACAGGCATGTGCCCTATTTCTTCCCTTTTTTTTTTTTTCTTTTTTAATTGTTATGCCTATTATCCTATTCTAAACCCCTGCTGCTTTTTTTTTTTTTTCTTTTTTTTGAGACAGAGTCTCTTTCTGTTGCCCAGGCTGGAGCGCAGTAGTGCAATCTCGGCTCACTGCAACCTCCGCCTCCCAGGTTCAAGTAAGTCTAAGCTTCCCGAGTGGCTGGGACTACAGGCGTGCGCCACCACCTTTGGCTGATTTTTTGTATTTTTTAGAAGAGAGGGCGTTTTACCATGTTGGTCAGGCTGGTCTTGAACTCCTGACCTCAAATGATCTGCCTGCCACAGCCTCCCAAAGTGTTGGGATTACAGGTGTGAGCCACCATGCCCAGCCTAACCCCTGCTCATTTCTAATAGCTTCTGAAGTCCTGCGATTTTCTTTTTTTTCTTCTTTTTTTTTTTTTTTTGAGATAGGGTCTCATTCTATCAACCTGGCTGGAGCACAGTGGAGCAATCTCAGCTCACTACAGCCTTGACTCCCAGGTTCAAGCGATCCTCCCATGCTCAGCCAAGCAACCTGAGTAGCTGGGACTACAGGTGCATGCCTCATTCCTGAAGTGCCTAAGTTTTGTGTTTTTACTAGAGATGAGGGTCTCACTATGTTGCCCAGACTGGTCTCAAACTCCTAGACTCAAGCGATCCTCCTACCTCAGCTTCCCAAAATGCTGGGATTACAGGCATGAGCCATGACACCTGGCCAATTTTCTCGATATTAGAAACCCTCGAGGACAGGTGATGGGAAGGACCATTTCAGACTGCTGGTCCGATTTAAAAGGAGTTTGGAAGGTGAGTTTGCTAAAGATGGGACAGAAGGAAACTGACTCTTCAGGGGCTCACTTCTTTAGCAAGGGCTGCGGAATGCCCAGTGCCATGCTGCCTGCTGGGTCACCCACAGCCGTGGTCCCTGCCCCTGTGGGTTCACAGCCTGGTTGGCTATCAGACAACCTTAGCATGAGAAGAGAGCAGCAGAGTCCCATGTAGGGATCCTGGCAGATTTCCTGGAGGAGGTGCTGCCCCCATCATCTACATGCAGCAGGGACCCAGGGTATACTGAGGCAAACCCAGCCCTGGTAGATAGGACTCTCGGGCAGGCATGCGTCAGGTCTGCCAGCCCCTCATGAAATCCTACATTGAATCCCACTTGGTGTCTGCCTCCTGGGGGGCCTGAACCCACAATTTTAAGGGCCATAAAAGAGTGGATGGAAGGAAAAAGGAAGGGCCATCTGCACATGAGTAAAGCCCCAGTGGGTAGCAGGTGTGTCAGGACAGGTGCAGGGACTCAGGATCACTGCCAAAGGAAGGGGACCTGGGGCGGGGGTGGAGTAGGGGGACCAGCTCACCAAGGGCTCAGCCTTGAACCAGAGGCCAGGGCATGATGTCAGCAGATTAATAGAGTGGGTGCCTGGGCAGAAGCCTTGCCCTTTGGTATTAGCCTGTAATTACTCACACTTGTCTAAAAGTCAGATGTTTTTGCTGGGTGTGGTGGCTCATGCCCCAAATCTCAGCTACTTGGAAGGCTGAGACAGGGAGGGTGGCTTGAGCCTGGGAGTTTGAGCCCAGCCTGGGCAATGAAGCAAGACCCCATGTTAATACATACTTGCCTGTCTCTACAAATAAAAACCCGACAGTTTTGTTGAAGAGCTGCAGCTTCACTTATTTAACCAGTGGGGACACAGTGTGGACAGCGCTCCAATATGAGTCCGGATGCAGCTCTGCGGCTTGCGCCTCCTGACCTGTCCCTTAGCGGTAATGATGGACTGCTGGCCGTGGGATTGCCCTTACCACCAGGGCCACCCATTCAGGCCTCGCCCCATGAGTGGTCCCCTGCATTTTCCATACACAGAAGCAGGCACAGAGAGGCCGCACCCCAAGGTGGAGAAGCCGGAATCACCCCTGCGGGGTACCCTGGAGCCCCTGTACCCCAGTCACGGGCCCCGTGGTTCTCCTTCATGGCTTCCTTTTTTATTTTTGAAACAGTCTCACTCTGTCGCCCAGGCTGGAGTTCAGTGGCTCAATCTCAGCTCACTGCAACCTCTGCCTTCCTGGTTCAAGCGATTCTCCTGCCTCAACCTCTCGAGTAGCTGAGATTACAGGCACATATCACGACAGGGTTTCACCACGTTGTTCAGGCTGGTCTCGAACTCCTGACCTCAGGTGATCTGCCCACCTCAGCCTCCCAAAGTGCTGGGATCACAGGCGTGAGCCACTGTGCTGGCAATGGCTTCCTTTTCTTTCACGCAGCAACTGCACCAGGAAAATTGTTCTCACCAAAGCCAAGGTCGTTTGCCTCCAAGGGTGCCCAGTCTAGTGTGGCACTCTTGTTTTCGGGAGAGCATTGGCTCCTGAGAGCCAGGCCCGGGAGGCCTGTCCCATCTAATTGAGTCCTTGTGACCACTCTTCAAAGGTAGTCTGTGAAGGCCAGGCGTGGTAGCTCACACCTATAATCCCAGAACTTTGGGAGGTCGAGGTGGGCGGATCATCTGAGGTCAGGAGTTCGAGATCAGCCTGGCCAACATGGAGAAATCCCATCTGTACTAAAAATACAAAAAGTTAGCCAGGCGTGGAGGCAGGTGCTAAAAATACAAAAAGTTAGCCAGGCGTGGAGGCAGGTGCCTGTGATCCCAGTACTTTGGAAGTCCAAGGCAGGCCGATTGCTTGAGCCAGGAGTTCAAAACCAACCTGGGCAACATGGGGAAACCCCATCTCTGTATTTAAAAAAGCATATAAAGACAAAAATGAATTTCATAAAAAATAATAAAGTAGGCTGTGGAGAAACTAAGGCTCTGGAGGGGTGGGCACATTGCCTGGAGGCTCCTGGGATGTCCACACGGCTCTGCCCCGTGTCCTGTGCAGGGTCCCGAAGCCAGCCGCCTTGAAGATGGTGCTGAAACAGGCATGTGATTGAGAATGGGCTCCCAGCGCCCTCCTGAGGTCCTTCACAGCCACCTGGCAGCCATTAGCAACACGGACCGAGGCGAAGCGCCTTCGCCATCCGGCCAACTTCTCTGCTGTAAATCAGATGGCAGCAACTGTGGAAGGGCCCTGGCCCTCTGCTTTCTGAGGCCTGCTCCCAGCCTCATAACTCAGGAGCCACCCCTGCTCCAGTGAGGAGCTCTCTGGCCATCATCGCAGGCACAGCCTTCTGCTGTGGGGATTGCTGCTCCTTTAGGAGTACGAGCTGCCAGTGGCATTTACCCGCAATCCAGCTGTAATCACAGCTCCCAGAAACTCACGGCCCACTGTTAGTAATGAACACGGGGCCTATGGCAGCCACTGCAGCTGAGACAGTGGACAGTGTTCACTCCAAAGCAATACACTTGCACCAGCACGGTGCAGCTTCCAGCACTGTTTTCTGCTTGGCTGCAAGGGAACCTCCCCAAGTCTCCCCACCACCCCCTTTTCCGAAGTGGATGTGGTGACCTTGGAGGCCAAAAAGAGCCAATGAGAGGACTGTTCTTGGCTCTTGTTTCACGTGGCTTCTCCAGGGTGTTGACGAGCCCTGGTCCATGTGGACTGATGATGACAAATGACCCATGAAGGGGGACAGCAGCACGCGGGGACCAGCAGACTGAGCTGGCCTCGGTTATCTTGTTGAGCATCTGGGAATGCAATTGGAACAGGAGCCGTGGGTAAGTGACTGGAATGAGGGCCTGACCAAAAGGAATGAAACCAGAGAGACCAGAATGGTGGGGAAAAGAACTGCACAGGGGCACTCTGCCACTTTGGTTTTATACTTTGGCATCACAGCGAGAAAAATGACAAACCCTGCCTTGGGTGTAGTGAAGGGTGACTCGAGCAGCGAGTGAGGATGTGTAGATTCCCTAACAACTGTGAGAAGACTGAAAGCGCTGGAGCTCTGGGGATTCAGAGTCATTTTCAGAAATAAGGCCAAGCGCATGGCTCACGGCTGTTATCCCAACACTTTGGGAGGCTGAGGTGGGAGGACGGCCTGAGCCAGAGGCAGAGGTT